GGGGAAGGGTTGCTGCAGCAGGTATTTCCTTTCCCCCCCGCTGAAACCCGATTTCATTCGGGGACACCGCATCGCTCCTGCCCCTGTGCAGTAGGCCTCGTGCATCTCCGGGAACCTGCTCTCAGCGCTCCGTGGCGGGCAAGGTGTCTTCCCCCGCGCTGGGGGGGGGGTGTCTCTGTGCAGTGCTTCATGAACAAAGACTAAAAAACATGATTGCTTAGAGATGCTGAGGAATTTAATAAACTTGTCTGTGGCAGTTTGTGATTAGCGGGGAGTTTAGCGGTCTAAGATCTTCAATTTGTAAACATTTTCCTGGTTGCACGCTATGTTCTATCGAGAGACAAATCATGTTCTAATAAAGTGAAACACAGAATACTTCCTAGAACAGTACTTGAATAGGATTTTTTTTTTTTTAAACTTTTGTGAGGCCTAATTGCCCGAGTTGTTTGTTCTTTGCTAAAATATGCTAGTGAGTGCTACATGACTTGAGTATTGGCCTTTTTATTGCTGGGGGAAGATGACGTTTAGTAATGATCAGCATTTTATTTGAAAAACAAGGAATGTATGAAGCTAACTTTCAGGGGAGCCTGGAGGCAGGAGTAAATCAAATTAAAAGGTTAACATCTGAGAACTGTTGGGTTGTTAAGAAAATTGTTTGTCAAGTTTGGCTAAGCTTGTAATCCTAACATCTTGTTTCGAACAGTTGTGATGTTTACCCAGTTTTTAGCATGTATATCTTGTCTTTCTCAACTGGGGAGGTGGGGAATACATTGATATTATAGACCGAACGCTTATTTAAACACTAGGTTCAAAACAGGACCGAGTTATCGATGGGGTACTGATGACAGCTGTTTGTTGGAAGAGAGAACTTCTCTTGGTTATGATGAACTGATAAATAATACTTGTTTAAACTTAATCAAGACTGGTATGATCAAATGGAAAAAAACCTAGCATTAAAGTTGATTTATGGAGAAATCTCTGAATTCCCAGGATAAATTTAGTTTTAAAACCATTTTAAAGTTAGATCAGGCAGTTAGCTCTTCCCTTGCAGATAAAGCAATACCTTATATCACTTCAACATTATGATTTTGATAACTAGGGTATGTATAATTTAATGACTGTATAATTTAATGATGTAAACCTGCTATTTATGAAAAGGAAAGTTGGTTATGGTAGTTAAATTTATTAGGGAAATTATGCACCACTTTGGCTATATAATTAAGTTCCAGAAATGCTGGTCAAATAACATTAGTTTTGGTCTCACTCCCAGAGAAGCAAGGACACTTGAAATAAAAATGAATGTTTTTTGTATGTGCTAACGCATATGGTGGTGTATTATGTGTGCCACCTACATTCTCCTTGTATGAGAAAGAGTTATAAGGAAGATGTACTTCAATTCCTTTTATAACTTCAAGTTGTATTCCATGTTCTCTTGAGTAATATTTAATGTTAATGTGTAAAATTGATGTCAAGCCTTAGTTTTTAAAACACTGCAGCAAAAATGAAAAGTGGTAGTAAAGAATGAGGTCATGCCCAAAATGTGTGAGCCAGGGCCTGCCAGCAGTTTCCTTTTCTGCCCGCTGAGCATTTGGGATTGCCTCTTTACGGAAACTACTGAAACAGT